AGTGAGAGAGCAGAGCTGATAATAGAAACACTGATAAACCTACATACCAGGGAGGCAGAGAGTGGAGAAGGGAGGGAGGGAGGAAGAAGGGAGGGAAGGAGAAAAGAAGAAAAGGAGGGAGGGAAGGAAGAACAAACATGGGGCGGGTGGGAGTATTTAGTGATTTAGTAGAAGAACAAACAACTCTGTGTTCCTCAGCAGGGACCTGAGGGCATCAGTATTTTAGAACCCGGCATTGTAGTTGATCATAATCATGACCCTGAATTATCATGAAGAATCAAAATTATATTCAATTTTATAAGGCAGGAATAAATGATACTTTTTAGAATTATATAAAACTGCCTTTTCAAACTTTGGCAAATAAGACCTAAGTTGTATAGAAGAAGAGCTTCCAAACCATGTTCAGGAGGTGTCCTGGGGGTTACCGTGGGGGGTGGGGGTATTCTCTTCACCTTCATGCAGAGAAGATTACCTTTTATCTGTTTTATATATTAATTTCTGCTTCAGATTCCATTAAAAGGAAGGAGTTCAAATTCTTTAAAAACTGTTTGAAAACCGATGATCTAGAAATTTCAGTAATGCAGAATTTCATTCCCCATGACGCTGGAGGAACTGTTATATAACCTTATACACATAGAGTCCCAGTAATAGACATGCAGTGGGCCTTGGTCAGCCACCAGCCTACTTCCGACAGACCCCCTTCACAGCTGGCGCCGCCCCGTGCAGAAGCAGCTGTGCATGAAGAAGGTGGCAGCCTGGCCGGGCCAGCAGGGCGGGGCACGAGGAAGCGCAGGGTCCTGCCTGCACACCCTCACCAGGTGACCCGCCTTGAGACTCTGCATGTCCCAGCGGCCGCCTCAACTGCCTGCTTGTGAGGAGGACCCCGTGGGAGTCGGTAGCCAGCCCCCCAAAGCAAGTGATGGGAAGAGGCTGGGAAGGAGGAGTGTGGGGCAAGGAGGAAGAGAAGCCCGGAGTGAAGTGGGTCTGAGGAAGCGGCCGTGCCCGCCACTCCGACATTAGGGGCCGCAGTGGGTCTGCAGCACAGAGGAGACAAGCATGCAGGACAGCCCTCCGGGCAGCTGTGCTGACCCAGGAGTCGGCAGAGGCTGCCCCGTCCGGCAGACAGGCGGGCAGACCGGAGGAGAACAGGCGGAGGCCTTGCAGTGGGACTTTTCCTTGGTCCACACGGTAGGAGCAATCTGGTCCCTCTCCTGTTCTGCCTGAGCAGTGCCTGAGACCCCCACTGGGCTGAGAGGGTCCCCTCTTTGCACCCTGGTCGCAGGTCCAGTGGTCACATAAGCTTATTCAACAGAATAGAGTGCAGGGGCCTGTTGGTTTGCTGTCCAGATGACCGGGGAAGATTCCAGCCCCAGTTCCCCACCCACGAGTACAGGAATCTCATCTTCCATGCGCCAGCTCCTCAGGTGGGGGAAACGTCCTCATCCCTCAGCATCGGGATGTCGGTAATGAGAAGCATATGTTTCTGGTACACAATTCATTAATTCTTGTATTCCCTGTAGCTTATTTCCTCCCACAAAACACAGAAAGCCTGGAAATGGCTTTTGCCAATAACAGCATGATTGTTGAATCCCAAGACTGTGTCACCCTTTATTCACTGAAGATGTGTACATTTTACGGAAAACTTGGGCCAAAATAAACGCCTCTTTCCCAGCTGGCTCTGTTCCTTGAGTTTGAAAGGGCAGCGTCCCGGGATCTTAACCGCACTTCCGTAAAGAGAGCTTTCCTGCCAGCCACACCCGGTTTTACCACAAGGTCATCTGATAGTACTTTTTGGGTTGGACGTCTGGCTTTTGCTCATTCTCAAGTACTATTGAGTTCCTACGCCAAGGATATTTGTGGGTGCTGAGAAGAAGACAAAAGAAATATAAGACACCAAGGCCCACACTCGCAGAGGAGGTAGGACATAGGACCACAGGTTAGCAACTTAGCAAGGTATGTTTTTGGAAAACTGATGATGTGGTAAGACATGCCCAGGGAGTGCCAAGATGGGGAAGAGCCCCGAGTGCTGGAGGGACTTGGGATAAACACGTGGTGTGACTTGAATTTTGAAAGATGGGTAGATTCTTGGAAGAGAGAAAAACCGCGTGAGGTGGGAGCGGCAGTTGTGGGCAAAGTCATAGACTTGGGTAAAAGCGTGCATTATGAGGGCCGGCCTGGTGGCGCAGCGGTTAAGTTCGCGTGCTCCATTTCGGTGGCCTGGGGTTCACAGGTTCAAATTCCAGGCACGGACTGATGCACAGCTCATCAAGCCATGCTGTGGTGGCATCCCACATACAAAATAGAGGAAGATGGCACAGATGTTAGCTCAGAGCCAATCTTCCTCACCAAAAAAAAAAAAAATGTGCATTATGAGGACTGACCTGGGAAGAGGCAGAGGAGGGGAGCAGTTTGAAAAGCTCTGATGACCTGTGCCTCTATTTACAGGTCCCAGTGGCCCCCATTGTAATGGCATTGGGAGCCCTTTTCAGGTCGACAGTAAGCTCTTCTCAGCCCCCGCCCAGCTGTTCCCTCCCTCCTGCCCCCCTGCACCTCCATCCGTCCCCGGGCATCTTAACCTTTCTGCTACACTTTCCATGCTTTTGTGCACGCTATTCCCTCCTCCTCTTTCTCTCTGCTCCCCCACCTCCCCAGCTGATGGTCCTGCTTGCTTATCAAAGCTCAACTCACCCCAAAACCTTCTCTGCCCACCCCATGTGGCACTCCTTCCTCACTACGCTCCCAAAAAAGATGTATGTTCTTCAGGCACCCGCCTCTGTCTTCCACCAGCATCACTAGCACTGCTGCCAGACCGTGGGGCCTCCAGGCTGGACCTAGGGACTTGTTTGCTGGGTGGTGTGTGTGTCTGTCCACCCACTAGGCTTGCCCCAGATATCACTGGGAGGTATTTGAAAAGTCTGTTTCCAATTGATTTTCTTGTGTAGAAGGCAGAGGCATCCGAGTAGGAGGTTTACCCTTGAGTGAGCAGGAATCAGGACTTAAGCTTCCAGCTCTTTTCCTCTGGGCCCCTGTTAGCCTAACCTACTATCCGCTCCATTTGAAAAGCAGTGACTCAAGAATCTAATCTGGGGAAAACTTCGAACCAAAGAACGCACGGCCATTTCCTGGCTGATAGGGGTTGCTATTTGGGAGAGCGTGTGTGGGTGTGGGGTGTGGTATAAGTCATGAGCTCAATAGGACGGGATCCCCAAGGGGAAAAGTGGAAGCCGTCGCAAACAATCCATTCTCTACCTTCAGGGAAACTTGCTTACCAAACAAACACTTAGCTGCATATGTCAGATGATGCCTGTTTCTGTTTCCTTGGTAGTCCTGGAGAAGTGAAGGATGCTCTGTGTGGCTACATCATCTGGGGTTGGTGATCTTCAGCAAATGAGTGTGAGCTGGGCATCCTTGTTCTCAAACTCATTCTAGAAGCCTTCCAGCTTATATTCTGGTCTAACTTACATTGAAACTCCCTGGAGCCTGTTGCATGGGAAGGTCAGACAATGCAAGGCGCCTGCTGACGCCTGGCCTCTCCCATCTTCCTCCTTTGTTCCACTGCTGTCTGGGGAGAGGAGGAGGTGTGTGATGGGAGGCATCGCCACGGGCACCTTTCCACCCACTACATTTGAATGTTGCTATGGCAACTGGTAGGCCCTAGAAGCAGCCCCAAGTATTGTTTCTTTCTTCAGGGGAAAAAGAAATCCACTGTTGTCACTGTTGCCACCTCAGTGACGTGTGTACACAGGAAAGGCAAGGATTTGCAGACCACGGGGTAGAATATTTGGTGCACTGTGGCTGGGTTTCAGCCTCCAGTGGACAGGGTTACACACGTGGCCACTTCAGGTGGTAGATGACTATGCGGGTGAGCCGAGCAGCGGAGCACTGCGGGCAGTGAGGCAGAGCAGGAGGCCTGCGTAAGTGACCGATGTCTCCGTGCTGGTGGGGTGGGGCGGGTGTGCGCGTGCCTTTAGAGGGACCGGCCAGCACTCTCCAGTGCCGCCTTCTGCCATCACGGCCTCAAAGTGAGGTTGTCGGCTGGTGAGAGAGGTGACAGCCAAGCAACCTTGGGCGATGGAAACCTTGCTCCTGGAAACCTTACAAAGTGAAAAAGTATCAAACCCTGGGAAGATTTATAGGAAATGCAGCAGGGTGGAATGAAGAAATAGCACGGACCTTGAGGACGGACAGACAGACGGACCTTGGTCTGCTGCTGCCCTGCTCTCTACCACTGGGAGGCCTTGGAAGAGTTGTGTAGCTCCCCAGTCTTCAGTGTCCTCATCCAAAAAGGGAAAAGAAGTCCTACTCTGTCGGGTTGTTGTGAGAATTATAGATAACGTATATAAGCACATCTGCTATGACTAACCAGCACATGGTAGGTTCTCATTAATGTTAAAAACTAATTAAAACGAAACTGAAAGAGAGCACAGACCTGGACTTACTCGGTGTTTCCTACTATCAGAACCCACTGGAAGCTCTTTAAAATACTCACCTAAGCCAAGCTTACTGGGTCAGAATTTGCAAAGATGGGACCAAAGAATATATATATTTTTTAAAACTTCCCTAAGTAATTCTGATGTAACCAGTTTTTGATTCCAATAGGAAATTCACGTATTTGCTTGAGGATAAAGAATATGAACAGCACTGGATTTCCCCCTTTTTTTTCCACTTCCACTAGCCCCTATCAAGCTATCTTTATTCCACTTCTAAAGTCCAAAGGCTTCTGCTAAAACTATATGTGTTTGGAAGCAGGGACGTTTGATAAAGTGGCTGGAAGTAATTTAATCATGCAGGCAAAGAAAAGCTAAAATTGTTCAGTTCTTTCCTGAAAGGAGTTGAAAAGAATCTACAGAAAGTTGTATGCAGGCCCTAGATGACAATTGGACCATCTCACCTATCTAATGAGTTGTAAACGTGACATTAAGGTGACTTGTACAATATACTTAAGCCTTAAATAGGAGTTTAGCGTGCATATAACTGAAGTTTTTTTCTGCATCCCGCAGGAACTTGGTTGAAGAGTGGTCTGGGCCTCGTGCACCAGGAAGGCAGCCAGCTGACGTGGACGTACATTGCCCCTCAGTTGGGCTACTGGGTGGCGGCCATGTCTCCTCCCAACCCAGGTAACACAAAGTAGGCACCTGTGATGATGGGGTTGATTTCTTTGAGGGTTCAGGCCAAGTATGCTTTTGAAAAACACTTAAGCAGAGCCATCACATCTTACTCAAAAACGGTTGCAAGTCTGAAAACCAAATGATGAAACGAAGGTATTTCACGGGGGTGGCAGAGTTCTGGTTGGAATTCGCCCATCTAGGATAAGAATAATGCATAGAAAATAGTCTTGTCTCAGGTCTCTGTTTTGCTCAGACAGCTGCCATAGGGAATGCTTAATCTAGAGCCACAGAGGCGGTTCAGCCCTCCTCCCTAATTCCTGAAACAGCTGTGGCCTGGTGTAGGAGAACAAGTAGAGAAAGGCACTCGACAGAGGGCCCAGCAGAAAGTCACCATGGGAGGCTTCTTGGGGCAAAAAGCTTGATTTGGCATTTCTGAAAGGCTTAAAAAGCAAACCAATGGCTTTGTGTCTAAAAGAATAATCATCTACATTTAGGAGTTAGAATTAACTCCTGTTTTTCAAAGTGCAACTGGAAGTTTATTATTTTTTAACCTATGTGCCCTAGTTTATCCCTATGAGTATTCTAGAATTGTTTTTCAAAATACTCATCTTAGGATAATTATTTCCAGTGATGGCTTCTCTTGCTCAAAATGCCTTTAGAGTCTGCATCACTTGGCCTGCCTTCATGAGGGGAACTCTTCGTTGGTGGCAAAGCTTTATACTCAGAGGGTCCCTTTGATTTTTTGTAGACATAGCTAAAAGTCAGGCACATCCAAGTCCGATGAATAAAGTATGTGATTGAGTGAGATCAAAACGTGCTGATTAGAAGGTGTCTCTTGTCAATTAACCATGAAGGCAGTTCCAAAATGGTCATCCAGAATATTTTAGCAATGGAATCATCACTGGAAGGAACCCTTAGACTCCCCAAGTTGCTAATTTGATGGAAGCCATTCCTAGACGGGTGTTGAAAATCTGTCACATTTGCTTTATACTCCCATACTGAGAAAATTTACACTTCACATCTGTGTTTTAAGAGTACTAGTTCCCCTTATGATATTGTTCCTGTAGCAATATAGGCATGAACCAGTTACAGAAATGCCCCATTCTCCAAATCTGAAATATCTAGATTATGACTAAGAGTAAGGAAGGAGGGAAAAGAAACTCCTTACGATCCAAAGTCGAGGCCACAAAGCCCATGCATTCACATTAACTTTTATTTTAGATATATTTCAAACAGCTATGGCTATCAGTTTTCCCATCATGCGACAGATTAGTAGATACTTTTGCAAAGAGGGGAGAAAGAACTGCTGGGTGTAGGTCCACTGTAGCTTCCTAGCAGTGAAGGAAAAGACAAGAAGCTATAAAAAGCGTACATGGCCAGCTTCGATGGCATTTAGTGTAGAAACAGATGCATTGGTAACCTCACAGCCATCACTTTTATTAAACAAATTACAGCGATCTGTGCTTTCATGGGCCCAAAACCAACAAGAAAATAATTAGGGTTTTTCTCTTTAATTCTCTGTTTAAGGAGGAAATGAAATATGGCTGTGAATTTTATAAAGCTTTCCATTGGCAGAAGTTAAAATAATAACATTTTAAGTACTTAAAGGACCAAGCTTCGGTTATTTGGAAATGATTTTTATGTGACTTGGTGACTCCTGCCAAGACATTGCCTATGTCTGCGAGGGTTGTCTTTATGTAAAAAATTATTTCTCTGTGGGCCTGCCCCGTGGCTTAGCGGTTAAGTGTGCACGCTCCGCTCCTGGCGGCCCGGGTTCAGATCCCGGGCGCACACCGACGCACCGCTTCTCTGGCCATCCTGAGGCCGCAGCCCACATACAGCAACTAGAAGGATGTGCAACTATGACATACAACTATCTACGGGGGTTTTGGGGAAAAAAAGGAGGAGGATTGGCAATAGATGTTAGCTCAGAGCCGGTCTTCCTCAGCAAAAGAGGAGGATTAGCACGGATGTTAGCTCAGGGCTGATCTTCCCCACAAAAAAATTAAAAAAAAATTATTTCTCTGAATGGTTAAGGCCGGATAGAGTTTGGCCATTATTTTTCCAACTTTTGTAAATATTAACTCCACCCTCCCACCCCATTGAAGTGAATTATATTTGGGAGAGAATGCTGTTATCTTTTGAACTTAAGTAATGTCACTGTTTTCAAACTGGTAAACCTCCTTGGGTTTATCTAGCTCTTAAGAGATTGGCCTCCTTCAAAAGATTTTTGAAGACCCTTAGAATATCAAAAGTCCCACTAAGTATACAGGTGTTTATGGTGTTTAGTAATCATAACCATGCTACTCTGACATATTGTAAAACCACATTCCTTCCTTCCCAGCTGTTGGCGCTCTGCCAGGATACCGGGACACCGTTAAGTGCCCAAATATTGTAATTTGGGGAGGTTTTCTTTGTTGCTGTAGACCGATTGTCAATAACATTAAGGTAGATTCTTACGACTATTGAGCATAAAGAGTCTGAGTTAAACTACCTCTCGGGATTCTTGACAATGTAAATTAAAAAGAAAGTATGTTTATCTCCGACAACCTCGTCTGTAAGTTCTGGAGAGGTCTGTGACCACGTAAAGTTAGCCATTTCGAAAAGCTATTGTGGGGGAAAATTTTATTTTTAAAAATGGAATGCATTTTGGAAACGCTTGACACTTCTGTAATAAGCTGTGGGTTTTTTTGGTCATAGTACATTTCTTTCATGTATCTCGACTGATTCATTTAGACAGAGTGCTCTCCAAACAGTAATAGTTGACTGCCCAGGGAAAGCGAGAATAAAATCTTGTGATTTTTTTTTTTTTCTCCTGCCGTATAAAATTCCCAGATACTCAGGCCACCTCTCTGAGTGTGAGTCCCACTCTTTATATTATCATGCATCCATTTTCTTTTTCAAAGATCACGCATTTAGAATGCTGAATATGCATCCGAATGTGGCTCTCTCCCTGGCTGAGGAGGGCCCCTGACACCCTGCCTTTGGTGTTTGAGTATTCAGAGTGCTCCTGGCCACAGCTGCTTCGGTAATGGTCGTGGTAATCCCTTTTCATTGAGTGAAATTATGGTGATGCTGCAAGCGCATCTCTAAAGGCTATTTTCGTCTGGCCCCTGCTCCACGCCCCAGCCGTTGAGAGTAAGAAAAAGACCTTATGATCTTGGTTAATTATCCCTCTTCTGATATAAAAGTTTTCACGAATCTAAAATGCCCTTTTCTGACCTTCCAGGTCCCGTTGTCACGCAGGACATCACCACGTATCATACGGTGTTTCTTTTGGCCATTTTAGGAGGAATGGCTTTCATTCTTTTGGTTCTGCTGTGTCTCCTTTTGTATTATTGCAGGTAAAGTTTTACCGTTTTGGCAGTATCTTTTTTAGTTTGGAATTTCTTGTGCAAGCATTGCTAGGGAGGTCCTTTTTTCCTCATGCAACGGTATCTAAGAACTGAACATTTACTGTCTAAGTTGCAAACGAACCAACAGGACGTGGAGGTATGCTGCTGCGTGTAATGTTGCTTAGAAGGGGAGTTATAAAAAAAAATTTGACAGTTGTCATATGATTTGTTCAGACTATTCCTAAATGCTGATTAAGAGATGATATTCTCTAGGCTGGCCTGGTGGCATAGTGGTTAAGTTTGCAGGTTCGGATCCCAGGTGCGGACCTGCACACGGCTTGTCAAACCATGCTGTGGCGGCATCCCACGTACAAAATAGAAGAAGATGGGCGCAGATGTTAGCTCAGGGACAGTCTTCCTCAAGCAAAAAGAGGAAGATTGGCAACAGATGTTAGCTCAGGCCAATCTTCCTCACCAAAAAAAAAAGAAACAGAGAGAGAGATGATATTCTCAAGGACAAAGCAGAACTATTCTTATTGTGATGCCTCGTCTGTTCAGTTTGCGAGAGTGCTTACTGTCAACTCTTGGGTAACCACTTTTGAATGAATAACTTGGATGTACTTATGAAAGCCTGGGGGTAAAATCTGCCGACTGTGCTGCTCGGAATTAAAATAAGGATGAGGGTGTGGAGTGAGAAGGCTTCTGTCTGCTGATGAGTTGTCTTATCTCGTTTCTTCCTATGGAAATTGAGAATTAGGATTTTACTCAAAACTTTACTGTTACGAGAATCTTTAATCTTTGGGTTTGATTTGTATCTTTGATCGCAGGCGGAAGTGCCTGAAACCTCGTCAACACCACAGAAAACTGCAGCTCCCCGCAGCCCTCGAGAGTTCCAAAAGAGATCAGTCAACTTCCATGTCGCACATCAACTTGCTGTTCTCGCGTCGGGAGTCGGAATTCCCTGGCCCGCTCTCTGTCACCAGCCACGGCCGCCCGGACGCCCCGGGCACCAAGGAGCTGATGAGCGGAGTCCATTTAGAAATGATGTCTTCCAACGGAGAGGTGGACATGCACACCCCCATGCTGAAGCTCTCCTACAGCACCTCCCAGGAATTCAGCTCTCGGGAGGAGCTTCTCTCTCAGAAGGAAGAGGACAAAAGCCAAATCTCCTTTGACAACCTGACACCGAGTGGGACGTTGGGAAAAGACTACCACAAGTCGGTTGAGATTTTTCCCTTAAAGTCCAGGAAATCCATGGAAAGAGAAGGCTATGAGTCCCCTGGCAACAGCGAGTACAGGAGGAGTTATAACGCCATGCTCTCACAGCCTTTATTTGAAAAGCAAGACAGAGACGGTCAGGCCTCCGTTCACCACATTTCCACAGGAAGCAAGCTCACCATTCAGGAACATATGTACCCTGCGCCTTCATCTCCTGAGAAAGAACAGCTGCTGGACCGCAGACCTACCGAATGTATGATGTCGCGATCAGTAGACCACCTAGAAAGACCTACATCTTTCCCGCGGCCCGGCCAGCTGATCTGCTGTAGTTCCGTGGACCAGGTCAATGACAGCGTTTACAGGAAAGTATTGCCTGCCTTGGTCATCCCCGCTCACTATATGAAACTCCCAGGGGACCATTCCTATGTGGGCCAGCCCCTGGTCGTTCCAGCTGACCAGCAGCTGGAAATCGAGAGACTGCAGGCTGAGCTGGCCAGTCCTCACGCAGGGATCTTCCCACACCCCTCCTCGCAGATCCAAGCCCAGCCCTTGTCTTGCCAGGCAATCTCTCAGCAGCACTTGCAGGATGCGGGCGCCCGGGAGTGGAGCCCACAGACGGCGTCCATGTCAGAGTCTCTCTCCATCCCAGCATCCCTGAACGATGCGGCCTTGGCTCAGATGAACAGTGAGGTCCAGCTCCTGACTGAGAAGGCTCTCATGGAACTTGGGGGTGGGAAGCCACTCCCACACCCCCGGGCCTGGTTCGTCTCCCTGGACGGCAGGTCCAACGCGCACGTTAGACATTCCTACATTGATCTCCAAAGAGCTGGAAGGAACGGAAGTAATGATGCCAGTTTGGATTCTGGCGTGGATATGAATGAACCAAAATCTGCCCGGAAGGGGAGAGGAGACCCCTTGTCTCTCCCGCAGAACCACCCGCCTGTCCAGGAGCGTCCGCAGAAAGAGCCGAGGGCTGCCGACGGCACCGCCTACACACAGCTCGTGTACCTGGACGACGTGGACCAAAGCGGAAGTGAGCGTGGCACCACCGTCTGTACCCCCGATGACAGTGCCCTGCGATGCTTGTTGGATGGCTCCGGCCGGAGGAGCGGCGGCCAGCTGCCCAGCCTGCAGGAGGAGACGACAAAACGAACTGCGGATGTCCCCCCGGAGCCGTTAGCCAGTCCCGAACAGAGCCGATCTGCTCACGAGGACGAGGAGGACGAAGACGATGAGGACGACCAAGGAGAAGACAACAAGAGCCCTTGGCAGAAGCGGGAGGAGAGACCCCTGATGGCATTTAACATTAAATGAGCCGTCGCAGAGCCACCCGACAGTGGAATATAGCAAAATTGCCAAAAATTCTTTCTTAAGGAAGCACTTACCTGCTTGCAGAGGCGGTCCAACTCAGCAGCCGTGGGAAGTGGACTTTTACTGCGTTACCGTTTGCTGTGTAAATGTTAGAAAGGAATTCAAATTATTACTCAGATAAAGGATGCGCTCATGGAGGCCGCACCTCCAGGGAGGTGGTGAACGTAGGTGAACCCCGTGTCTGAATGTCATTCCACGTACTTGACATGTCCACCCCCCAGGACACTGAAAAACCACAAGTGATGTTGCTAGGTTTTGATGATAACCTCAGTTCTCCCTCAGATCCTGGGAACAGATGAAACTCTTTTTGCATTGCTTGAATCAATTTTATCATGATAATGCTCCTGTGAAGTTATTATTGAGAAATTAGCTTGGCACCTAGTGTCTCGAGGTATGCGTTCTCTCAAAGGAAAGCTATGCATCGCTGTTTCGTGGTCTTACTTTGCTTCAATTTTTGCTTTGGTTAGGTTTCGTTTGGGGTTTGCTTTTTTCAAAACAATTTGGTTGTAAAAATTTTATTCCTTGATTTTCATCTGTTCTGCTTCTCGGTGGTTTATTTCGGTGTCTCCTTTCAGGAATTCCTAAGTGTCATCTCTTAACATCCAAGCTTTCTAATGAAATTGTACTGAAGTTTTTCTCAGCTAAGAGTCCTTCAATTCTGGTCCCATTCACTCCAAGTGCCTTTTTTACAGTGACAGCAGACAGTCCCTCACTTTATTTTGCTTTGTTTGCTTTTCTTAACTCCTTTAATTGAACTGCCTGGATTTTATAGTTATGAAATGATACCCCTTTTCTTTATACTGCATGCTGCCAAGTGCCCAATTTGTGCTCAGAATTCTCATTTCAACGCAGTGTACTCTCTAGTTCTCCTGTGTGACGTGGATTCTGTTTAGCGAAGATAGACTAGAGGACACTTAGAGATCCCCGTCCCTCCTCCATCCTTTTGGCCGCTAGCCGCCGTTATGGTTTCATTGGCTGTTTGTATATACGATTACATATTAACTCTGGAATCCTATGGGCTGACTTTTGCTCACCAGACATGGAGTATGGAGTGAGCAAGTGGACCGAATGTGACTATTAAATAAATCCTATGTACTATCCGAAAGTGCCAGAATGACTCTTCTGTGCATTCTCCTTAAAGAGCTGCTTGGTTATCCAAAAATGAAAACTCAAAATAAACTCTGAAGGAAAAAAAAAACCGTTTGGTGGCCTTTTCCATTCATTCTGAGCCATGTTTTGTTTTAAAGTTGTTATTAAGAATTTGTTATTCATTCCTTACCAGTCTGGAATGCCAGTTGTTGGACTTATATTCAAAGACTACCACCTGGACACCTAGGAATTTGCCCTAGGGTTAAAATCCTTAAAATCCACCTTTGTGTCTAATTTCATTCAGGAACACGAGGTAACATTTTGTTTTGTTTCAGAGAGGGAGAGGTGTCTGCACCTACAAGAAACTGATGTTTCTTTTTTGTGTTCAGTATTGATCCACCTTGGGAGAGCTTCAAAAAGATTTCATTAAAATGACCAGAATCATCCCAGAGGTGTAAAACTATACATCCACATCATTAATGGAGACAACAGACTGGTGGAAATAAATTAAGCTAGCTGTGTTTATAGCTTCCTTAGAAAATCTTTATTTGTGAATTCCATGCTGGCAGAAAACTAATCAAGCTGATTTTTTATTATTCTAATTCTCAAATATTGATGTCTTTTGCTTTTAAGAGAGAAAACTGTTAAGAGATTCCCCGACAGTGCTGAGGCATCTCAATGGATGGGAGTCTGTAGTTTAACAAGTGAGAGACGGAACATTATCACCAATGGGTGGCAAGCGAACGCTTGCCGATGTCACTAGAGTCCAGGTGAAGGCCATTGGTCAATTACCCTCCAAAGAAAACATGGCCTCCCCAAGAATACCCAGAGCCAGATTTAGGTGACTGGGGAATGCTGGGAGATCCCAGCCCTTACAGCCCTGCCTCAGGTTGCTGCCAATTCAATCACCTCCTTAAAGCATCGGTTTCCCAGAGAGCCTGGTTTACAATGTATGTTACCTCTGAAAAGTAGGTAACACCTTAACTGTCAATACTGATCATGGGAGATTTGCAGGAAGATGGGGAAGGGAAGGTTCGACTTCTCCTCAGTAGGTGCAACCTACCTGGGTCAGCCATGCATATGGAAAGTATCAAGCAGCCAGCAGTGGTCACAAGACACTGTGTGCCTAGGAAGACAAGGCAGTGGGTTTGCCAAAGGGGAACTGGTTCTGCCAAAGACGAAGCTTAACTTGTTTTACAGTCATCCAAAATGAGGCTCAGAGGTTAACATTTTTGCACAGGGTGCCAACACTGATCGCCAGACTAGAATTGTCTGGACAGAGCACCATGACTGTGGGTTTTAAATATTTCATTTCTCTTCTCTCTAGCCCAATGAGGGTAAAATATGTCACAGTGTTCCGAATCCATTATAGTGTCTGAAGAACTAAAGCCACCAAAGGCATCTTGCCTATGCCACCTAGTGGTGAGTTTCCACCTGCCTATTAAGGAGACTGATCTAGACCAAAGATGTCCAGGGCCAGCTCTGGGAAGAGGAGATGGGTGCACAGGGACGATCCAGACACCGCTTCTGTCCCCCAGGTAAGGTAAGTGAGGAGATGGAGACTGATGCTTGTTGAGGTCTCTACCCTGGAAACAATATATTAGGAACAATAGGGCATTCAGTTTGCAAAATCTTGTTAGAAAGATATATTTATTCTTTGTTTTACCCCGAGGCTGGGTGGTTAAGTAATTGAGGTCACTCAGCTAGAAGCAGCGGTGGGCTGCCTATACAACCAGCTCCCTGGCAATGAGTGCATTTAAGTTATAAGTGTTCCTGATGAGGGAGGCGTAGGGCACAAGTTACAAATCATAATAAAATACGTAATACTCCATTGTAAGTTGCATTTGGCAATTGCTTCCCACAGAATGCTTTCACTGATTCTTCTCATAGCCAACCTGTTATTGCAATTGACAAAAGGGTGTAGTTCTGACATGAACATTGATTTTTTTTTTTTTTTATTAATGATTAAGATGAAAGTGAAACAATGAAGAGACATGTCAGAATGTCACTCATTCATCAATCACAGAGTGACTTCTTTGCTGAAGCAGATAATAGCTTTTGAATTCTGGAAGAATAGTTTCTCAGTTTTTTGTGCTATTCTCAATGTAATGGCTCCAGACATGATAGAACTTTGAGTTTAATATGCATTATTAACATTTTCTCTGTCAGTTTCTTAAATCTAGACATGCAACAAATCAAGCCTTGATTTGTAGCATTTGCCAATTTCCATGGTGTAAATACTCCCCATGTGGGCAATTTCAAGCAACCAGTGTGACATTACTACACACAAGAGCTGTGAAGAGAGGCGCAGTAGCACACAGTTCTGTTTACACCAAACAGATACGATAAAGGTAAGGAACCTCAAGAGCATCGTCAAACATACAGTTGATCCTCATTATTTATGGATTCCATATTTGCGAATCCGCCTACTTGGCTAAAATTTATTTGTAACCCCCAAACCACTCCTCATTGTGCCTTCGTGGTCATTCACAGACATGTGCAGAGCAATGCAAAATTTGAGTTGCCCGACAGGCATGTTCCCAGCTGAGGCTGAACTAGGCAATGTTCTGCTTTCTTGTTTCAGCTCTCATACTGTACACAAGAGTCCCTTTTGTGCAGTTTATTTATTGCCATATTTTCTGCATTTTTGTTGGTGATTTTGCTGTTTAAAATGGCCCCCAAGCATAGTACTGAAGTGCTATCTAGTGTTCCTAAGGCCAAGAAGGCTGTACTATGCCTAACGGAGAAAATATGTGTGTTAGATCAGCTGGTTCAGGCCTGAGTTTCAGTGCTTTTGGCCTTGAGTTTACTGTTAATATATCAGCAATATGTATTAAATATGGTGTCTTTGAACAGAAACACACATAAAACAAGGTGATGTCTTGATGGGTTGATGAAAATGCTGTGACCAGAGGCTCACAGGAACCTAACCCTGTATTTCTCCTAGGAGCAGTGGTTCTAGCATTGTATTCATTAATTCAGTGTTTGAGGCAACTTTATAGAACATAACTCCTGCGAATAACAAGAATGGACTGTAGTAAATAATTAGGAAGTGATGAGCTTGAAGTGATTTTTACCTTTGTTTCTTAAATTATTCTTTTCAGTTAAATTAATTTATTTACTATGTTTTTAAGGTTAAATTATTATGTAATTGTAAACTTGTAAAATATAATTTTTCATGGCTTTGTCTAACAACTGACTCACAAAATTCCTGACATTTCAAGTCATCTCTCGTACGTCTGCTCCGGCATGCGATGAGCTAGGAGGAGCCAGAGTAGCAATAAAGGTCTGCCTGGCTCCAAACCTGGTCTCTTGCTTTTTGAAGCTTCACGTGGAAACCCTTAATTAGGACAGAAAAATCGAGGTGCAATTGCCTGCCAGGCTTTAGTGTCACTCAGGGTGCAAGATGGGCAGTGTTCGCTGGGAAAAGAACCACGTACCTTCTCGTGGTTCAAGTGTGGCTGCAGGACTTGGGAGGAATTTATGAAAGAGAGTTCTTCAAACCATGCCAGGAGGTAGGCAGATCATTAAATGACAGAGACCCTGTGCCTTTGGAATTTTACTTAGTATAAACGAACACAGATAAATGCTAAAACAGTGAGACAAAACACCCAAGGAAATGAAACCAGAACCAAAAAGGATATATATCATAAAAACCTAAATATAATCAGGCCACAACATGATAAACTACAATTTCTTGTGTTCACCGTCTTAAATTTTACTTTTGCAGACCTCTGTATTTGGAGGACAAGGAGATAAAAATGAGTACAGTTATAGATAGAACTGTCTGGTGATTTTCAGCTATTTTGAAATTCCACAATTTCTTTTTTTGTCTTTAGATTTTTTTTTAATTGAAGTATAATTGACGACACATTATGTTAGTTTCAGGTGTAAAACATAATGATTCAATATTTTTATATATTTGTAAAATGATCACCACAATAAGTCTAGTTAATATCCATCACCATATATAATTATAGAATGTTGTTTCTTGTGATGAGAACTTTTAAGATTTACTCTTTTACCAACTTTCAAATATGCAATATGGTATTATTAGCTACAGTCACCATGCTGTAAGTTACATCCCCGTGACTTATTGATTTATTTTGTAACTGGAAGTTTACACCTTTTCCATGATTTTTTGTTTGCTATTTTAAGATTATAATTAAAGCAAGTTGCAAATGTGTTTTGGGATTTGATGATAGCCCTTGGCGTCACGGAGAACCTGTGGAAGTGGGCATGATGGTTGTCATGATCCGTGGAGTAGGAGAGGAAGGTGGGCAGTGGAGGACAAGGAGCAATTGACGTGAGAGCCAAGGGAGAGATCCAGCTGAGCTCTTTAGGGGAAGGAGAAATTGCAAGCTTTTTTTTCCCCCTGAAAACTGTATTTTCAAAGCTGTGGATAAAATACACACCAAAAGCCCCAGTAAATGTTTTTGTCATTCTTTACGGTGATTGTGACTTGTTTAATGCTGATAAGCATTCCTGTAGTCATTTACACCTCATCAGGATGAACAGGACTTAGAGCACCTGAGAATGTGAAACAGAAAAGAGCCTTAAATCTCACAGGGGAGGAAACTGAAGCCAAAAATGTTGAGGTGTCCTCCCCATGCAGGTAGTAAGTGAACACATGGGGTGTCTTAGTCTATTCAGGCTGCTATAACAAAAACACCATAGGCTGGGTGGCTTATGAACAACAGACATCATTTCTCATGGTTCTGAAGGCCAGAAGTTCAAGATCAGGGCACCAGCGTGATCAAGTGAGGGCCCTTTTTCTGGTGCATAGCTGGCACCTTCTTGCTGTGTCCTTGCATGGTGGAGGGGGTGAGAGATCTCTGTAGGGTCTGGTTTTTTTTTTTTTTTTTTGGTGATGAAGTTTGGCCTTGAGCTAACATCTGTTGCCAATCTTCCTCTTCTTGCTTGAGGAAGATTGGCCCTGAGCTAACATCTGTGCCAGTCTTCCTCTATTTTGTATGTGGGTCTCTGCCACAGCATGGCTTGATGAGCAGTGTAGGTCCACGCCTGGGATCCAAACCCAGGAACCCCAGGCCACCGAAGCAGAGCACACTGAACTCAACCACGGTGCCACTGGGCTGGCCCCT